TGGACCACATTTCTTCTGACAAATAAATGTTTTAAATGAAAATACATTCAAATAATTCCCTAGGCTGTTGCAAGGAATTGGTGTAAAACAGTATGTCTTTTTATTGACTTTTGTGTGTGTGTTTGTACCAGGGATTGAACTCGGAACCTTGCACTTTCCAGTCAGGCACTTATTACTGACTTTTCTTTACAGTTGAACGAATGCGCAATGGTATTGATATCCTGGTTGGGACTCCTGGTCGTATCAAAGACCACTTACAGAATGGCAAGCTGGATCTCTCTAAACTGAAGCATGTTGTCCTAGATGAAGTTGACCAGATGCTGGATATGGGTTTTGCTGATCAAGTGGAAGAGATTCTTTGTGTGGCTTATAAGAAAGGTAAACACTAAAATCAATTGATATAAGGGACCAAAGGAAGAATAGTAATGAAGTCTTCTAGGAGATAAAGCATTAGGAATTGGAAGGGGGCTTAATTCAGCAAAACCTGGCAAGTTTTGTTTTTTGTTTTTTCGGTTGTTTGGTTTTGGTTTTGTTTTTGGGGGGGGGGACTGGGGATTGAACTCAGGCCCTTGCTTTTGCCAGGTAAGCACTTATTCTACTGAGCTGTCTCCCAAGCCCCTGTTTCAAGTGTTCGTGGTAATTATAATCTTAGGTATACATACTAATATTTAACATAATACTCAGAGGCAGCATTGATTCCCCCAGATGCTGGTAGTGTTTTTTTATTCCACATAATTCTGTTTATAGAGCATGGAGGTAGATTTCCTCACACTTTAGTATATAGAGTTAGTTCTTTAGATTTCTAGAAGTAAAATTACTTAGTTAAAAGTTGTAAATAGAATCCTTATTCTGGATTAGAATGGGCACTGTTGATTGGAGTCTAGAATTGGTCAGTGTGGCTAAAATTGAGACAGAGGTCATGCGTCCATCACAGTAAATATTTAGAGTGGTGACCTGTAATATTTTTGCCTAATACTGACTGAAAAATGCTGACTTTCAGTATTAGAAATGAAAGGTTGGGGCCAGGGAGATGGTTCAGTAAAATAAGCGCTTGCCAAGGCCCTGAGTTCAAACCCTGGTTCTGCCAAACAAAAAAGAAATGAAAGCTTAAGGAATGATACAGAATTGAGGTCACATGCCAAAGTACCAATACTATGTACAATTCAAATTATAGGCTCCAAAAATGTATTGCTGGATGAAATTGGATATAAGACCACAGTTTTTCAGTGTGCATAATTCAAGTGGAGATAGAATTGTGGCAAGGCAGATGGGATGACTGGAGTAAGCTTCAGTTCTTTTAAAAAGGGCTACTCTAAAGACAGCCTCATTAAAGAGACCCTAATGAGTATTAAATTGCATGAAATTTTAAAATTAAATTTCGGGCTGGCGAGATGGCTCAGTGGTCTAAAGCACCTGCTCAGGCCAGCTTAGGCAAGCATTCAGGGACCTCATTTCGATCCCCAGCACCACATGCCATGCCAGCCCCGCCCCCAGGGTGGGCTGAACTGACCATAAAAAAGAAATAAAGGAAACATTTAAAATAAATTTTTAATTTAATTTTTGAAAAATAAAAGTTGTAAATAACAGCTAACGATGTAGCTCAGCAGTAGAATACTTATTTCCTCAGCATGCAGTCTCTAGATGTTGTCCTCCCTCCCCACAAGAAAAAGTGGAATGGTTTGTGCTTCTCGTGTTGCCAAATTGCTCACACTTTCTTTTAAAACATGTAATAATGCAATAAAAGTCTTAAGTACAGGCAAACAAAAAAATAATACCTCAAAGAACAGATAAATTGGGATTCTAAATTCAGAAAATACTAAGGAGTATAAAGTGATTATAGAATCTGTGGGTTTTCTTATAGGTTATTTGCTTAGAGAGCTTAACTGGTTGATTATTAAACTTAATAAGTTTATGGGGCAGGGGAGATGGCTCAGTGGAATAAGCACTTTCCTGGCAAGCACAAGGACCTGAGTTCAATCTCTGGTTCCTCAAAAAAAAAAAAAACTTAAGTACTTTCACTATTGCAAGGATTCTTTTTAGTATATGATCCTGAGGTTGAACCTATGTCTTTACATTGGGCTGCATCTTGGGCTATTTTTTAATTTGCTAATGTGACTATTCTGGGCTTAGATTTAGAATCCTCTTGCTTCAGTCTCCTGAGTACCTGGGGTTATAGGAGTATCCCCTGCACCCTGCTTCCAAGGGTCCTTTACTTAATTCAGTATTCCTTTGCCCATTAAGAATCTTGTGTGAGGGGTCAGGGAGATGGCTCAGTGGAATAAGCACTTGCCTGCCATCGCAGGGGCCTGAGTTCAATCGCCAGTTCCACCTCCCCCCACCAAAAAAAAAAAGAATCTTGTGTGATGTATTTTGTGTCCTCAATGCATAGCTTGGCCTCCAATAGTTGATAGTGAATATTGGTAAACCCCGGAAGTACTGGGTGAGGTGGAATACTCTAGGTGTGTTCGACTTATTCATGCTGACTTTTTTTTCCCCCCCTAAAGATTCTGAAGACAATCCTCAAACTTTGCTTTTTTCTGCAACTTGCCCAAGTTGGGTATTTAATGTTGCTAAGAAATACATGAAATCTACATATGAACAGGTGGACCTAATTGGTAAAAAGACTCAGAAAACAGCAATAACTGTGGAGGTAAAAGATTCATTTAGTTGCCGGAATTATAACATATGTTAACATTTGTTTCCTGTCTAAGTAAGTATTGAGATTGGCAAATCCAAGCTCTTTTTCCATACAAATATAATACTAAATCCACAAAAAAAAGCCAAATAAAGATATATTTCTATTTTATTTGCATATGATACCAGTTTTTTTTGGTTTTTTGGGTTTTTTTGTTTTTGTTTTTGAGATAAGGTCTCATTATACAGTTCAGGCTGGCCTTGCACTTACTGTGTTGCCCAGAATGGCCTCAAACTCACTATGATCCTCCTGCCTCAGCCTCCCAAGTACTGGGATTACAAGTGTGCAACACCACACCCAACAGTATCTACTTTCTAAACTTTATCATCTGGTAGCCTGATTTCAGAATCATTTGTGACCTAAATATGCCTGAATTACGTTAAAAAAAAAAGAGAATTGAAATGCTAGTGGGCAGAAGTGAAATTTAATGCCTTTTCTTATTTCTGTTTTCATCGTGGGGTCCGGTACCTAGATGAATTCATTTCACCCAAGGAGTAGACCTGTACAATAACTGACTGCAGATTTTGCTTTTATATGGATGAAGAGACAATATAGAGAAATTTTTCATGTAATACGTGATTTCCCATAGGAACCTGGGGAATGACATTTCTTGTTTCTACTTAAGTCAATTAAGCCTGATGCTCTTTGGATAAAGGGGAGAAGTAAAAGAGGACAGATCATTTGCTTTTTACATTAGTGGTGTATTTAGTGACACTTTATTAGTTGAACTCACTGTGTTCCAAATTTGTATTTGAACACCAATAAGCTCAAAAACTGAACATAATTTTCCCATAAGAAATAATGGGGGCAAGGGAGATGGCTCAGTAGAATAAGCGCTTCCCTGGCAAGTGCAAGGGCTTGAGTTCAAACCCTCGTTCTGCAAAAAAAAGAAAAGAAATAATGGAAAACCAAGGGTGGGGGAGATAGCTCAGTAGAATGAGTTCCTGCCTGGCAAGTACATGGTCCTGAGTTTAATCCCCGGTACCGCCAAGAAAAAGAAAGAATGGAAAACCAATTAATTGTGGGGTTTGTTATTGTTGTTGTTTGTTTCATTATGTATTTGGTACAGGGTCTCTCTATGCATATTGGACTTGTAGTGATCTTCCTGTTTTCGGCCTCCCCAGCGCTGGGATTATGTGCATGTGCCACCATGCCCAGACTCAGTCACTGGCTCAGCACGCCCCAGAGGCAGAACTGTCACAGCATGTGGGATCGAATTAATTTGTTTTGAGATCCAAAATATTATTCTTAAAAATGTTTTTCCAGGACTTTAACAAATTTTGCTATATTTTCTTTAACTTTGTCATGGTTCTCACAGGTTTCCTCTTAGCTTTACTGCTAGTGTCACTAACTTTCTTGGGAGCCATGGTTAGTATGTTTGGTACAGTAAAAGTGCAAAAATAACAAAAGTATAGTAACAACTTTTAACACACTGACACAAGCCCTGTGTGTTGTCTGGATGAGAGCAGTACCCAGACAGAAGACTCCTGCAGGAATTTTTTCAAGTGGAATTTTTGGTTCAGCTACTGAGCAGTTACAAACACTGAGCAGATTTTTTAAATTGAACTGTGCAAGCAGCAGAAATTTTGAACTTGTTGCCATTGAACAACTGAGGTATCACAGTTGTGTTCTGTTTTCTCTTAAATAGTGGTAGCAGCAGTGTGCTCTGTCAGGCTTCAGCAATTGTTTTCTTATACCAGGACATAGATGGTTAGAATTGAGTGGGTTATTTTAGGATTCTGCAAGGCATTACTAAATAGAGGATTTTTTTTCTCAAAAGCATCTGGCTATCAAGTGCCACTGGACTCAGAGGGCAGCAGTTATTGGAGATGTGATCCGTGTATACAGTGGCCATCAAGGGCGCACTATTGTCTTCTGTGAGACCAAGAAAGAAGCCCAGGAATTATCACAGAATGCATCCATAAAGCAGGTTGGTCCTCACTCCTCAGAAGCTGGGGCATCAACAGACCATTGTCACCTCAGTATGTCCCTGCTTAGTTTATTTTTCATTTGTCCTGTAACTTCCAGTTTCTTTTAGGATAGAAGTGAAAGGAATCTTGTTTCTAAGTATGTACATTAGAATTTATCTAATCCAGCTTTAGCTTACAGATGAGGAAAAGGTGGTACATACCTGAAGCACTAACAATTTAGGATTAGATACTCATGTATTCCTCAACTTTAGTATCATTACATTTAATGGCTGAGGATTAGGAAATAATTTGGCGCTTTATCCATGTAAGAAGGCATATGTTTTATTTTCTCCTTTTGTAATATTTTTGGTAGAAATGTTAGCAAAGTATGAGTGTCCTTTATAGGACTGAGCATGGATTGTTGAATCTGACATTCTGAAGCCGAATAATTTCTTTTGGCAGGATGCTCAGTCATTACACGGTGACATTCCACAGAAACAAAGAGAGATCACCCTGAAAGGTTTTAGAAATGGTGATTTTGGAGTTATGGTAGCAACCAATGTTGCTGCACGTGGATTAGATATCCCTGAGGTTGATTTGGTTGTACAAAGCTGTCCACCAAAGGTAAGTATTCTATACTTGGATTTTATTTTGTTTCTTTTGGGCATTAAAACAAAGTTGTATTTACTAACATGGTTAGTAGTAGCAGTCTCTTGAGTGCTAGGATGTAAAAGCAATTTTGAAAATGAACCTGCTAGTGGGCCCCTCCACTTGGAACTGACAGCTGATTGGTCACATGCTGGAAAGGTGACTTGTACTTCAAGGGGAGTCCTGGAAGGCTTAACGGTTGTGGTACTGTTTTGAGTGACTGGGTGGAGGAGATCCAAATGTTACCAGCTAGAAGAGGATAGAAGAGAGAAGAGGCCTGGACTTAACAACCTCTGTAGTTGTAGTTGTTGAGGTTTGTGGATTATAGAATCTTTATGGGAGAGCCCTAAAGCTGTTCATGTGTCATAGATGATGCTTATATAAATAAAAGTCAATTTGAACAAGTCTGTTCCCAACACTACCAGTGCAAATATTCCCTAACTTCCCTAACTTTTCCCCAAATCCTTCACAATTCTTTAAAATGGTATGAGTGATATGTGACTAATCCTAGCTATAGGGGAGGCTGAGGCAGGAGGATCAAAAGCTCCAGGCCAGCCCAGGCAACTTAGTCCCTATATCAATTTTAATTCTTCTAAAACAGTTTGGGATGTAGATTAGTGCTTACTTGGGTTCAGTTTTTGTGTGGTTTTTTTTTTTATATATATATATTTTATTTGTGTGTGTGTGTGTGTGTGTGTGTGTCCAGCTCAGCCCAGCAGGGGGCAGGGCTGGCTGGCATGTGGTGCTGGGGGATTGAACCGCGGTCCCGGTGCTTTGTTCTAAGTAGGTGCTTTAGACCACTGAGCCATCTCACCAGCCCTTGGGTTCAGTTTTGAGTGCTGCTTTCCTCCCACTGCTTATGGTGATGGAAAAAATACCTGACTACTATGTATGTATGTATGTATGTATGTATGTATGTATTTATTTATTTATTTTGCAGAACCAGGGATTGAACTCGGGCCCTTGTGCTTGCCATGCTGTTACTTATTCTACTGAGCCATCTCCCCGGCCCCTACCTGACTACTATGAATTTTACTTTTTTAAAGTTTTATCAAACCCAGTGCCTCACTTGTGCTCACTAAGCACTGTAACACTGAGTTGTGTCCCTTAACTGTTCAGTGACTGTAAAAAGGCAATCCATAGCATGTGATATGATCAGAGCAAGGTGTGTGTGTGTGTGTGTGTGTGTGTGTATGTGTGTGTGTGTAACCAGGGATTGAACTCAGACCCTTGCGCTTGCCAGGGAAGCACTTATTCCACTGAGCCATCTCCCCCTTTTTTATTTTTTGGGTTTTTTTGGCGGAACCGGGGATTGAACTCAGATCCTTGCGTTTGCCAGTCAAGCACTCATCCTACTGAGCCTTCTCCCTGGCCCCCTAATAACATGTGATATGAACATTGTCATTAACCTATAGACTCGTGTCGGTCATTAAGCACCTGCCACATGTAGCTGTTGAGCCAGTGAAATGCGGGTAGTCTGATTGACATGTATTTTAAGTGTAAAATATGCACTTGATTTTAGGGTTTTTGGTTTTGTTTGTTTGACATTTTTTATTATGGGCTCTGGGATTTGAAAGATTTCTGAAAAAAGATATAAAATACCTGTTGGAAACTGGATCATAATTGGGAGCCAGGCATGGTGGCACATGCTTATAATCTCAACACTTAGGTGGCTGGGGCAGGGGATCTCAAGTTTAAGGTAGTGAGACTTGTATTAACCTGGGCAAAATAAAAACCTTGTTGGTAATTTGTATTTCTTTTGGGGGGGGGGCGGGAATTGAACTCAGGCCTTTGTGCTTGCCAGGTGGTGTACCGTTGAGCTGTATCCCTGCCCAGTAACTTATATTTCTGTAGAGAGCTTATTGGATTGATAAGGATTTAGTAGTTAAACTGTTAAAATTAACTTAATCTTTTTCAAAAACTTTCATGACGGCTATTTGAAGTCAAAAATACATACCTGCCTCTTAGGGTACATGCTACGTAGAGTGCTGTGTGCAGATGTGCTCGAGTGCCAGTGTCCCCTCTGGTGCCTCCACTGCTGGCTTCCACTGACTTAAGTTTCCTGGGCTGCTCAGGTGTGCGCTTCTGTTGTGTCACTGCCACATTTTGCTCTGATAGGATGTAGAGTCCTACATTCATCGTTCTGGGCGGACAGGCCGAGCCGGAAGGACAGGGGTTTGCATCTGCTTCTATCAGCACAAGGAAGAGTATCAGTTAGCACAAGTGGAGCAGAAAGCGGTAAAAACATTTTTCCTTTTATTCATCAGTTTTGTTACATTCTAAAATCAGTCTTTGGTTTCTTTATTGAATTTTTTTTAACTTTGAAGTTATTTCTATCATGCAGCTAACACTAAAAGCTTATTAAATATATGTTTATATTGTCCTATCATAGTTATCTTTTAATAACGTTTAAAAAGTTTATTTTTCAATATAGAAAGTGATTTTCAGGCGAAGATAATGTAAACATACAAAAATATTTAATCAAGCTAAGAAGTTTAGGAATTGCTTTGAAACCAAAAGAATGGAGTTATCAAAAAGATAAATGAAAGGCCGGGGAGTTAGCTCAGTAGAATAATCACTTGCTGGGCAAACACAAGATCCTAAGTTCGATCCCCGGTACCGCAAAAAAAAAAAAAAAAAGATAACTAAAACCTACCATGGTGGTGTATGCCTATAATCCCAGCACTCAGGAGGCTGAAGCAGGAGGATCTCTGTAAGTTTGAGACCAGCCTGGGCTATGAAGTGAGCTCTCAAGGCCAGCCTAAACTGTATAGTGACAGCTTGTCTCAAAAAGACCAAAAGAAGGGAGGTGATTAATTTTCCTTACAAAATTTTAATTATGTAGATATTTCTTCTCCAGGAAGTGAAGTCTGATCTCCCCCTCCCCCTAAAGTGGGCTGCATTTAGTGACTTAAAAGAGCATGGTAGGTGGTAAGGATTCATGGTGCACAGCCCAGGGAGCATTGCTGGGACCGAGGGATCAGTTCTTCCTCAAAAGTTTTTTTGTAGAACCAGGGATTGAACTCAGGTCCTTGCAGTTGCCAGGCAAGTACTTATTCTACTGAACTATCTCCCCAACCTCTTAAAGCTTAAGAGCTTGGGACTGACATGATAGCTTGGTGGACTAAGCATCAGCTTAGGCAGGCGCAAGCACAGGGACCAGGGTTTGATCCCTAGTACCGCGGAAGCATTGGCCCCACCACTG